GGTTTCCGATCCCGCGATATACTCCGCTTTCCCAGAGCTAATGGAAACGGTCGTCTGCTTTTGAGATCACCAGTAAATTGGCTTAGAATTAAAAAAGATCAGCGCGCCCGTATGTGATTTGCAAGTGAGAGGGCATGAGGCCCAGTCAGAATCGCTATACGATAAAAGAGCTGTATCTAGGGTTTGATCAGATGTTCGGGGGCGATCAGTGAGGAGAAAAGTAATAGTGCCGGCAAGATAGAGTAAGACGCAAAGGAGGGCGTCATAGTGAGGGTCGAGAGAATTGGCTGGAAAGGCTCCGAACTGATTTATGGCGCAAGCAATGTTCACCCTAGTTATGTTGCGGCAAAGCCGAGATCCCCGAGGAGACTGCAGTCTTTGCCGGTGAAATACACATAAATATCCCTTAGTCATAGTAGAAGTGGATATAATATCTTTATTTATATATTATGTATTATGAGCTTCTACCACTTTTGTGATTAACTCGTAACTTACTATGTTTATGCTATTACACTAAGTTACTACAAGATGTGATGGTTCTGTACTAAGACCCGGATAATAGAGGGTTTGATCGGATGTTCGGGTGAGAGAAGAAAAGTAATAGTGCCAGCAAGATAGAGTAAGACGCAAAGGAGGGCGTCATAGTGAGGGACGAGAGGGTTGGCTGGAAAGGCTGCGAACTTATTTATGGCGCAAGCAATGTTCACCCTATTTGTGTTAGCGACAAAGCCAAGAGCCCCGAGGAGACTGCGGCCTTTGCCGGTGAAGGCGTCACCTGTAAGTGCGCCTGGGTGGGTACTAGAACCAGGAGGAGGTTTGGTAGAGATGTCTTGTACATGAAAGGAGTCAATCATTCGTTGAATCTACGCCTCTTGGAGGAGGAATGTTGTGCCAGAAGGGTCCTCTGAATAACGCAAAAACCAACAACATGGTGAGCAAGGCCGAGATTATTCATGTTGATGGGGCGTCAGACGTGGATTGGTCTACTGCCGGGAGGATCTCATTAACGTAGATTACTACCATGTCGCGAGTGCTGTGGATCCAAATTGACTTGTCGGCCTCAGATTGAACGAACCCTGTTTCGGTCAATTTAGCACCGATGTTGAAATCCCATAGGTTGTATGCCTGAACTGGCGCAATCCATAACGACCACGTTTCAACCGGAGAACATGGTTTGGTAGATAGTGCCCAAGTTGGTCGGAGCCCTTGGGAGGAAACATGTAAACTGGGAAGTCCAGTTCACTGTAGTGGTAGGCAGACGTCACGTCAAAGTGTGATGGACGACCTTTAGCTCAAATGCGGCCTTCGCAAAACAAAAAGGTGGAGGGGCGTGGAGTGGGCGGCAGGAGCATACGTATCAGTAGAACTGTCCCCGTTTTGTTGCTCGTCCCTCCGGGCCACCATTTGAAGCGTGTGAGCTTTTTTATGTTCATCATGCTTTAGAGCAAAAATATATTTACTATGATTACATATGGTGGGGCTTGGGGGGACATTGGTGAGGGGGATGACATCTGCCAAGTCGTTGCGCAGTCGGTTGCTTCTTTCAGTTTCTATGGCGGCTGCCCATGAGGGCCAAAATGTAAGATTCGGTCTATCATGGCGATATTATCGCCTTAGAGTAATTAAACGCTTAGGTTAAGTCTAAGTATAGTTAAGTTCGAAATAAATTAAAACCCTCTTTTAGTAAAGTTAGGTATGCCTCGTGAAAACAGCAATACTCTGAGGGATTGTGAGGCTGAGACATTGCCTATATATAATCCTCTCAGTACTGTTTTCGCCGAAGGGATTTTATTTAGTGTTTTGTTGTCGCTCTAATAGAAACTATGGTACGTTTCGTTGGGGCGAATCCGAGAGACTCATAAAATCATATCTTTAGAAAAAAAGAATAGAAAAAAGAAAAATACTCCTGATGTCCTTAGTTATTGCATTAAACAATAACTTGCCACTTATCAAGAATTAACGATTTATCCTTCATCAGACTGGCACATCTGGTTGGCTGAACGGGAGATAAACTAAGCAACGCTAATAGTTCTTAGAAACCTATGTTCGGTTGAGCCATCTCGCTACCGAAGTATTCAGATATAAATATATTTGGAAAGTAAATATAGTTCTATTAATGGAACTAGACTAAATCTTATGTTTGGTATTTTACTGGGGCCTTTTAAAGACCTTGTCCAAATATCTGAGATGTAAAATGAAAAAGGTTTAATTAATAAAACCATTAAAAACCATATTAGGAAACTTAAGTTCCTCGTGCTATTAAGAGTACGTTTATAGTTTACGTACTGCTTAAGAGTACGTTTATAGCATAGAGTCTAATGTGGAGGCCCGGCTATTACAAAAAGGGGGGTTTACGAGCCGAGGCAATTAATTTAGGAACATTGGGGTCGTAAAAGGCAGCATGTAGTTGTGACCTCCGGACGAGCGGTATGTGATGGAGCAAACAGCTTGGAGAAATGTAGGGAGGGCGCGAAGACAGGCGATCGAGGGCTCAGCGGATCATCCGAGGGAGAAGCTTGGGAGGATGTCGTAGTATGTGGTGACATGCGTTTAAGCGGTATGGAGTCGACAGGGTGGGAAGTTGCAGGTAGTGCTGAGCGCTGTTGGGCTGTTGTAGGGGCGGACGGTCGGCGCATGGGTCGAGGTTGATTGAATGATGGCGGAAGAGAGTCCGGTGGGGTAAGAAAAATTGGTGGCGGAGTATGAAAGGGGTCAGTAACGGGAGGACGTTGTTCAGGATTTCGTGTGAGAGTATAAGGGGGGGGTGTAGCTGACATGGTTGTGGGGTGCGTCTGGGTTGTCTGAGCAACATCCTGTGGGAGAGAGCCGCCGCGATGGGTGTGGTTGTTTGATATGGGGGTGCGAGAGTCGTTGGGGTAGTTTGGGGTGGAGGGGTAATTACCGGTGGTAGGGCAGTTGGTCAAGGCTCAGGGCTGATAGTGGGTGAGGGACAAGCTGGAGGTGTAAACTTCGATGGAAATTACTAGGTTTCAAACTATATTAAACAAAAATACAATTTAGTCAGTTAGGATTTAGCAGTGGTAGCTTGTGTAAGAATGATCGGGACTGCCTCTTGTTATGAGCCTAAATATCCTCGATCACACAGGGCGTACCTCTAGCTGTTCTTTATTGAATAATTTTCACTAGAT